AATATACCTAACATCCTCTTTGTGTTGGCATGGGCACGTAGATTTGGTAACAGCAAAAGCTTGTAAATTATTGGACTTTTTACGACGCAATGCTCGACAATTCCCGCAAAGTACGCGAGACTTGCTACACAAAACTTACATTAGATCCGATCTCGAGTATGGTTGTACAGTTTGGGACCCACCAGCAGCTATCGAGAGAAATAAACTTGAAAGAGTTCAAAACTTAGCAGCTAGATAAGTCTCTGGAAATTACAGCAGGCAATTTAGCATAACAAGTATGGAGCAATCCTTAGGTAGAGAATTTATCAGTGAAAGAAGAAGAAACTACGGCAAAAACTATTTAATAACGTCTATTACTGTAGAGTAGATATACACCGTGAAAACTTCATGTTCTCCCCGCATAACATATCTCATCGTGTCGATTATGAACTAAAGATCCGAGAATACAGATGTAACATACAAACAAGTTTGAATCATTTTCTTCCCCAAAACCATTAACAAATGAAACCAACTGTCTTCGCAGGTTCTAGACATTTTAGACAATGACGCTGTTTTCACTGCATTGTGAGAAGGTTTCTGTTGTTTCCAGTATATCCTCTTTTTTTTCTCTCTCAAAGTGTATGCATGTGCGTTTTTTGTTGCGTTTCTCCATATTACTTTAATGTATCACTTGGTGTACACCCCCCCCCCCCTTGTAATTTCATCTGGCGCTCTGGGTAAGCGAATAAATAAATAAATAAAATCCATTCCAATCTGCTAAAACGGTGAAGTCGAGGAGCAATCGGCTGGAGGAGTCCTTCCGACTTCGTCGGCAGTTTCTGGCGTCGTTGGCACTCATAACGCGATCGTGTGTACGAATGAACGGACTTTGGAAGCTTGGGCCAGTACTACTTTCTCACGAATCCTATCGACTGTCATGATATAGCCAAGGTAGTAGCTTGACGAAGAGGCTGCAGTGACGCCACGTAGTCGCCGGTGGTGCGGGGCTTGTGCCCCTGCAGGGCACGTTCGATATATGCGGGCAACACCCGCAAGGGTGCTTCTTTTGACCCCTTGCATGAGAATCGCCAGGTTCTTCACTTCAGGAAATTCGGTATCCGCTCGGTTGCTGAGTCGAAGCACGTCATCAACGAAGCTGACGAAGCTCACGTTGGGGCCTTAAACCCTTGCCTGTAGGAGCTCCTCAGTGCGTTCTCGCTGGAGCTGGGTCACAAACGCCTCGGCGGATTTCATATTAGCATGCATCCGAGGTGGTGATCGTCGCCTCGTGGATTTCATGCCAGGTACAGTATTTCTCAAAAGACTACTGACCACAGCGCGCGTGGCCTAAGCGGGCTCGCTCCCGTGCAGCGGCGCTCTTGTCGTGGCGCTCTCTGGGTGCGAAATATTTTCAGAGCGAGGGGGAACTTTGCTTTCGCGTCGCGCTCGCCTTGATAAAAAAATGGCGCAAAATTGCGAAAGTGAGGTTCCCCCTCACTGTCAAAAATCTCGCACCCAGCGAGCGTCGACGATAACAGCGCCGATGCACGGGAACGAGCCCGTTCCAGCCACTCGCGCGGTGGACTCCAAACTTTTGAAAAAGACTGTACGAGTTGTTTTGCAGGCATTGCTCTGGCGTCCATCCAGTGTGACGGACAACTCGCTCATACTGCTGCGTACAGCTGTCGATGTCCCCGTGTAGGTCGCCGTGGAAGGGCGTCGGGGTACGAGGTGCGACGGGCAGAAAAGCGACGGAGGATGCGGAAACAGGTGTTTCGGTCGGCTGGCGCTGCGGAAAAATCTCCGGGTACGTCGAATTTTTTCCTGGATGTTTCACCAATGGACCAAATTCCGACGGCTGGCCTTGAGTACGGCGGCTTGCTCGGGATTTTTCTGGCTCCAGACGAAGAAGTTCTCCGGGGCTTGAAATCGATCTGGCATACGGCGGATCCTCGGGGGCGTTCGAGTAAAATGACATAAAAAGTGACCCCGCACCTTCACCATAAATTTCGCGGAAGAAAAAGGATAGACGAGAGTATAAACTGAAAACAAAGGTTTCCTCAGCGACCTTGTGCCAGCAACCGAACAAAGGATGAGCGTCGAAACGGCAGAAGCGAACATCGCAGCGTCGGCGTGACTCAGCGGGCTGGAGCAAGATGCGAGAGGGAGAGTCTCTGAGTCGGCAAAACCACGTTCAGCTCCTTTTTTGCTGCAGTAATTTTTAATGTAATTTCGTTGCAAAATAATTGGAATGAATTACTTTAATTAGTTTCTTTTTTTTTTTTGATATGAATATAATACATAAACTGGAGCAATATGAGCAATATAAACTGAGCTGCCATTTTACCAGCATGAAGATTGCAAGTTTAACAAAATAGAAAACATTGTGAAGAGGAGAATAACCGAAAAGAAAACACGCTTTTTCGTTGATAGGTCACAAGAACCACTCGAAAAACGTGCGAGGCACAAACGAATATCCGAAAAACGCAGATCAAGAGGAGTTGTAGTAGGAGTTGTCTTCTTGATCTCTTTAGCGGAGGCAGACACTGCATGCTACTGAGCATGCGCACCACTAGCTTTGTTTGTCTGCGGAATTCCGGGCATCATTTCCGGTTGCCGTAAGCTAGCGGGATGGCGGGTGTGGTCGCAGCTTTCGCTGCCTTCTCAGCTGGCCGATCAACGGAGTGCACCTTCGTTCTTTTTATTAAATACAATATTTTAATTTCACATGGACTACCATAATTCGAGGTTATAAGAAATGGAAAGTCGTGTTGCAGAACATATTTGAAAACATCAAATCGTTCCTAAAGTAGCGTGAAAGTAATTTGTAACGTAACGAGTAAAGTATCCCGCTACTTTTCAGCGAAAGTAATTTCTAATGGTAATCCATTATATTTGAGGCTTGCTAATCTGTAACTGTAAGATTTTTTACATTTTTTTTTCAAGCAACGGGCACAAGTCTGCGTCCAGTCTATGTTATATTTTCACGAATCAGAAAAGTTTTTCTCTGGCGACAGTTGCAAAACAGAGCTGACAGGTATGCCGATGCTTGGAACGCTACAATCACTAACATAATGAAAAAAAACAGGGCGTGTCTTTGGATGTAGCCTCCTATATACTGACAAAGCGTGCAGATCGCCAGGAGTAGCGGCCGCCGAAATGTAAAAGGTGGAGCGGTACACGACGGATGAGAGGAGAGCCACGTGACTGTCGCCCCGCTGCGGCGAGACGCCGAAACACACTTGTCCCGAGCGAACAAGTGTGTTTACGGTCCACGCGCCGCTGCAAAAGCTGTGCGCTGACGTCCAGGTTCCCCGAGAAATTGCTCTTTGATGCTCTGTGCTACCAGATCTTCGCGCTCCAAATCTGCGTCCGGGCACTGTATGGCTCCGTCGTCAAACTGCCAGGCTTTGTGAGTATAGAGGACGCTATAGGGCTTTGGAACGCCGAACTTCCAACAGGCGCTTCATGCCTTCCGCCGTGCTTTGGCTGCGCGCGCGGGCTCAAGGCCGGTGCACGAGGCGCAGAAGAGTTGTGGAAGGCATGAAGCTCGCGCTAGAGGCAAGACAAATCAAGCTCCTTTCTGCCGCTTTTACCGTGTTATTAAAGAGTTTTAGTACATTGTCTAGTACCGGTAACGATACCCCATTCCGCCGCCGGCTTCGCGCATACGTCGGATCGTTATCGGGTATTAGAGAGTTTTAGCTTACCGCGTACCGGGCGACCGCCGGGGTTACCGCGACCGCGACCATCGAGCCGGTACCGGACCGAGAGCGTAGCGGGTAAAGAACGTTTTAGCATACCGTAACCGCTCCTGACCGCGCCTATGGAAGTTTCTTCTTTCTCCAACGGCTGGAAAAAGTCATGATGATGATAGTGAATACCGGCGTGGTTCGTTTTTAAAGCGGTACATTTATTTGGACAAATGCCGCATAAAAAGCCACTTTTAAAAAATATTTTCCCATTACGAGTAGTTATAGTGGTACTTCCTTGGTATACGACCAAGTAACTTAATTTGTCAGCTAAGCTGTTGGATACTGGTCGCGCCTCAAGCCGGTACAGCCGGTACGATGCTCGTCCAGATCGAACCGGGCAGGGACGGGGATTTGAACCCAGTGCTCTGAGTTCTGCAGCGCGAGCTTTCGCTACACGTGCTCCGAGCTGTGGTGCGTTAGCCCACTCGGCCACCGTTCTCCCACGAATGCAAAGCAAACAGCATCATCCTGTACGCTGCTTGTTTGCATTCGCAGCTCCATTGCCATCAGCACCAGTCTCTAATGTCGGCTAGGTGGCTCAGGTTGCCGCCCGAAACAAGGGGCATAGCAGTTACCATCCATCTATTCAACCGGCCTGTCCGGCGGCCATGGAAGCCCGGATTTTCGCTATGGACCTCGGGTAGGCGAAAGCCTTTATAGGCCAACCAGAGCCGCTTCACTTGCCCTTTCCCATGTTATGTGGTGCGACGATTGTTTCTAGACGCCTCCCCCGCCATTCCAAAACAGTAAGTGATTAGTCTACGCCGGCCGTCGGAGCCGATGCTCGGCAGTCGCCATTGACGGTAAACGCGGTAAACCGAGTAGCGTGGCATAATTGGCGCATGCGCAGTTCCGCAGTGACGGTCGCGGTAACCCCCCGGTCGCCCGGTAGGCGGTAAGCTAATACTCTCTATTATCAGAGAGTTTTAGGGAACCGTTTTTGCACGTCCGATACGGTGCGATGGCCCCTCTGGTACAAACTGCGCATGCGCGAGTCTTCTGCGGTAGCGCATGCGCAGTTCGTACCGGACGGCGCATCGCGCCCTATCGGATGTGCAAAGACGGTTCCTTCAAACTCTCTAATATCGGAGGTATTGCAACGGATCGCAAAAGCTCCGTATGCTGATTACGCACATTCGTCACAGTTTCACTGTTGGCAGCTTGCGGTCTTTACATCTCTCCTGGTATAAACGACCTACTGGAGATAATTTTTTTTTAAAGAAGTCAAGGGCAGCCGCGAATGATAAAATATATAATCATACGCACTTGTCTTCTTGTCATCGACCGAAAAGAGCTCCTCATTGAAGAAAACATAAATTACGTCTTCCGGTGTCCCGTACACAACTGCACACGTTCGTGTAATAGCTCAGCTAAAGATAGCCTATCGTTCCAAATATCTTATCCGGGTTACCTCGTTGCCTGGGCATGAGAGCCCAAAGTGCGCCGCTTGTTTTGCTTGGGTTTCTCCGGATGGGCTTCACCAACGCTGAGGATACGCGACCCCGCACAAAAAAAAAAAAAAAGTAAATAAAGGACATTTTAAGTACATGTAGATATGAGACCTATCTAAAAACAAAGAAAACTCCGAAAAAAATGTTTTCATTTAAACCTAGCTTGACCAAATGCCTTCCTACAATAAAACTGTCTTAGAGAAAACGTTTCTTTATTGAATGAAACGGCGTTCCACTTATTCGATGAAAGTGAGTTCGAAGAAATGTCCCCGCGCAAAATAAAACTGCGTTCGAAGAAGTATTTTCTTATCGAATGAAACGGCGTTAAATCACGAGCTTCCTTATTCGAAGAAATGGCGTTCAATGAAATGTCCACTTGTTTAATGAAACAGCATTCGATAAAGTGCCCCTCTTATTGCACGAAACTGCATAGATAAAATACCTCGTAATCGAAGGCGTCGAAATTGGGTTGTGTGTGTATGTGTTACACAGCCTAGAACTTGGTCTGCCTCAACGGGCGACGAGAAGACAAGGCCTGCGCGTGACGCCATCGTCGGTGGATCGCCTCCCCCCCTCCCATTTTTTTTTTTCGAGGCGTCAAGAAAAAAAGGGGGAGGGGATCCACCGATGATGACGTCACGCGCTGGCCTTTTCTTCTAGGCGTCATTGGTACGGTATAGCGATTCATGACGTCACAGATTTGCCAGACGCCCTATGCTCCGAGGCTACATTCCTGCTGGACCAACGGCTGCCTGTCAACCACTCGTGACTGGTTAGGAGGCGGTCACGTGTTATAACTTGTAAGGCTGTTGAGGGTGCCTTAAAAACAACTATGCACCATATGCCGCTACACACCCACACTCAAGCGGTGAATGGCTGACGGTTGATTGGTAGAGGGGGCATCCAACTTCCGTATCGCTGTCAGCTTACAGCCACCTTCTCATGACTTTGCAGATTACTTAACCTTACATACTTGGAACCGCGGCATCTTTGAAGGGATGGTATTTATAACTAATTTTAAAGTGAGTCTCACGATTTTGCGTGTATCAAGATAGTACATTATTTAGGTACAGACAGAAATTCTTAAAAAATACGAAAGAGCGATGGCGTCTACAAATGTTTTGCGGCATAATACCGAGAGGAACCGCCGAGCTTCCATCACGGACTTCCTCTTCCTCCACGCCACAGTTATGACGGACGAAGGAGACGAGATCGCAAGCGCTTAGATCCAGCGACCACGTGAGCGTACACGGGAAATAGTGCAGTCCCTACTCACGTTGCGGATGGTACCGTGTGAAGCGGGCAAGTGTTCCGATTGAGCGTTGCAACGTCGTCTTCCACCCGAACGTGGTCAGAACGGAGCGTCCGGAGTGCAGAGTGGGAAAGTGTGGGTCGTCGCCCCGTCAAACGTTCCGGGCCAGACACTCGGCGCAGCGCAAGAAACGAGGACAAGAGCGGCAGCCCAGGCTGGACCGGTTCCGACCGGCTCCGAAATAGCGGTCGGCATCGCTTCGGAGACCCGCCTCGGAGCGGCCACGACGTTTAGGCTATCATTTGCCCATTATATTCGTCCTTGGTTACATTTATTTCTTTCACCGAAAGGCCAACGGAATGATCACGCACACGCGGACAAATAGAAGGCCTTCAGAGAACTAGTCAAGGGGGGAAAAAACGGGGGTTAACCAGACGGGTTTCTCCCAGGAGAGTTGCTCTGTCGGGCGATAAGTCCATGCTGATGTAGATGCCAGAGGAGGCGCTTCACAAGGCGGGACACACGCACACGCGAGAAGCAGGCTATTGTTCTGCAAGAAGGGCAACAGTTCCGCCCACGAAGCAGGCTATGCGCAGTTGTTCTGAAGGAATGAAAGCTAGATCGAAACTAAAAACAGCCCACAGCACCTAGAGGTCCCCAGACGTCCATCACAAGTGGATTCACGCAGCGCCACCTAGGTTGTGTCAGCATCGTCACAGCGAGCGCAAGGCAACGCAAAGACCGACGCGTCTGCCATTCACTCTCGCCGAGCTTCTTCAGCACGGGACCACTAGCCGCGATTTCATGCGCTGGCCTTGTCTTCTAGCTGACAATTCTCATAAGGGCTGTACTGTACATCCAAACAGAAGACTTCAGAAAGTTGGAAACAGCACAACTCGTCCGTGTTTTTTTATACCGTGGCGAAAGTTTACCTCCCCCAACATCCGCTTCTGTCCATCACAAAAGCCCAGAGCTGTGGTTCTCAACCATTGATGGTTGGTGCACTTTTTGTGGATCGGCGGAGATGATGGAGGACCCCGTTCGCGGTGAGGGGAAGTGAATGCTACAGGTTAATTATCATAGTGATTTAGTAAATGGATATAAGTAACGGCTAGTGTGAAGGAAGACTTCACTCGGTGACACATACACTCCAAAAAACTCACTCAAAAATTTAATCGCTCCTCCTCAATCTGAAAAAAAAAAATACAACTTTAATGGCGTTTTACTATAGTCCATTGCTACTCAAGAAAGTAGGGCGAGGGAAAGGAAGGCCAGGGTGGAGAAAGCAGACGGAACGATGGAGAGGAGCGGGGGAAACCTCCTCCTCCCTGTAGCGTTCTGTCTGCTTTCTCCTCCCCGGCCTTCCTTTCCCTCGTTCTACCTTCTTGAGTTACAACGCACTCTAGTGCGGCACGGTTTTGCGGAACCCCAATTGAGAACCATTGACCTAGAACATGTTTATCACTCGCGTCCGGACAGACACTCACACGCTCTGTTGGTTGTCGATGAATCGCTCGAGGCCTCCGCTGCTGTTGAAGTCCCGAAAACGGGAAAAGGAAGGATACGAAGGCGAGGCAGACAAGATGGACAGTCACACCATTGGCAGATCGCGTTTGACGTCAAGTCTGACGAGCAGAGACGTCAAAGAAAAAAAAAGGCATGCAAGGAGGAAAGCCGTGCCGTTTGCCTGGTGGATGTCCAAACAAAATACGTTCTGACTTTAATATGGAGGTCAAGTGGCGCTTCACGCGCTCTGAAGTATCCTCTTTGGGCATCCCTTCAGACTGAAACGCGGCTCCAATTTTGTTGATTTACGTTGATTCGTGCTAGAAAACTCTCGCTTTGTCTGTATTTCCTCGCTTCGGACAGCGTTATGACAAAGAATATTGTTTCGTGTAACGTAAAATTGAGGTTGAAGTTAATGTCAGAGCTGAAATTTATCGTTCAAAGTTGGCGCAGAGGCATCCCATGCAAGGTGCAATGATAGTATAAACACTTTTAAGCAGCTGTGCATGGGCGCCGCCATAACAGAGCTTCCTTTTTTTTTTCTTATTCCGTTTCCTTTATCATTATTTTTATTATACTCATTTTATATTCTATTATGTCCTACTCTCCAGAATTGGCCTTTGTGAAGGCACGTCAACGCCCGTTTCAGTGGATCGGTATCTCGGTCAAACAAGACAAGGTCAGAAATGGCTGTAATCTGGCGCGTTTTTAAAGCGTCTATAACTAGCTTCTTGCTTAACGAAGTCAGGTAACGTAATCGTATGAAGCAAGGGCACAAACGTGGCCGCGCCTTGCGACGCCGGGCTGCAGCCAAGTATATATATATTTCTCTTTCTTTTTTATTGTCTAGAAAAACTCTAGATATATATAAAAAAATTTTTTCCAGATTTTACAATTTGAGTTTTGTATACTATCCTCGTGGGTTCCTTTTTTCCTGTCTCTACGTCGTTTGACAAACACCTGGTGCCTGGCTTGATGTGACGAGCCGCCAGGTGTCTGCCTTCCAAACATTCTTATATGGGGCCAAGTACCCCCATAAGAATACTAGGGGGTGGGAAGGCGCTGGCCCCTTGACCCCGGTTCCAGCGTCCCTGGCCGTGCCAACACCAGATAACAAGGCCAGAAGGCTGCACCTACAAGATAACATAAAGACGGAAACGCGGGGCACGGATAGACCGATCTCACTAAGCATTCCACGCATGCGTGACGCCGCCATAACTATAGTTCACATGGGACAGGCACGAGATGGCTCGTGCCGTTTTGCTCGGCTCGCGCAGAGCTCCAGCGCAGAGCTCGCGCGTGCAGAAAGACTACAGTTGCCAATAAAGCCATTAAATGCGCCTTGCTGGGAGTATCGGCACTCTGTTCCCCGATATTGTTGTAGGCGATGCCATCTTGGTGACTGTGCAGAGCAGACGGAACTGACGATAGTCATGATTCAAAAGTGCGAATTCTTCAGCACTAGAGTCAATGTTAGAAAAATCATGTAGTACTTCTTTGCTCTGTCGCTAACTGTTAAGACATCTGTGGAGGAGGGAAAAGCGTTTCCTGTGATTTCAGATAAAGCTTTAGATAACTGGCAACCATGATTTTAAGCCACAAGATGGGCAAATGTCGTTACTCTGAAGCGTAGTTTATTTAGTGGCACTAGTTTTCATGATCTACCATGATCCATGCCGGCAGCGGCCGCGTAACAAAACACACAGGTGGGGTCGGTTTTTTGGGCACGAGTGCTGGATCAGCGTTGACTCTCCGAAACAGGGGCTGTAGTACTTACACCGCTTGTTGAGAATTAAAGGAGGAGAAAGAGCGCACGGACGATTGGGGGGGGGGGGGGGGGGGGAGAGAGGAGGGGGGGGGGGGGCGCGCAGGGCTTCGGCATGCCTGTAATACCCCATTCACACGACCGTAAAGGTACCTTTAGCTAAGGGACCTTTATTCTCTGCGGCCAATCGATTAACGATATTCCGCGCGTGGCTGTGTGCTCGCGACCCAAGAGCATGGGCTGATTCGCCGATAGCAAAGGGACCTATGTTAAAGGTACTTTATGTTGACCTAGTGAATGGGGTATTAGTCAGTATTCCATAAACGGCCATCCGAACCAGTGCACGTCTCGGGTTCTTACCTC